CCTTATATATCTTATAACTTCCAACTGAGTTCCTTATTCACAATTGGAACTCAGATGTTACATAAGTAAATTTAGATTTTTCTCTCAACAGTTACTTTAGAAAGTTAATTTTTCTTTCATCCAGCAAACACCGGTTTAACGAAAATTGATTGGCGGTGTACTAGTCACCAACAGATATAAAAATGGTCCCTATCTTCTGGGTCCTCGTGGTTTACGAAGAGTCAAGCTTCACACTTCAAACAATATCAGTGCATGTGATGAATTCAATAATAGAAAAACATACAAAATACAGAGGAGGAAACCTTAGAGAGAATGGTAGGGATGACCATTTCTTTGTGATGTATTGAAGAACAGATAGGCATTCATAAGCTTTAAAAGAGAATAGACTACCTGTCAGGGGGAAATACAGAACTCCAAAAGGAGGTTTGGGAGACTATAAGTGGTTTGGCATAGCGGAGGTATTAATCTGTGAGGTAGTTTTTGGAGATAAATAGTTATTAGGTTCAGAGTCTTAGACTTCTGAGTGTTGTCCTAAGGAGCTTTGTCTTTGGGTATAGGCTGAGAAACCAATATTAGTCTTCAGATACGGAAGGAACAGGGTTTATTTTGCCTTTTAAATGTCACTTAGAGTTAGTAAATGAATTTGAGGGTGATACTGAATCAGACTGAAGAGTAGTCCAGGTGAGGGATGGTCTATAGGTCTAAATTACGACGCTGGCAATGGACAGAGAATACTGGAAGGATTCCAAAGGTGTTCGGGATAAAAGTTGGCAGAATTTCGTGTGGTTGGTAGGGGAGAGGGTGAGATAAAAGATTTTCTCTTTTTCTCCATCAACATTAAATGGTTACAGCATAGAAGCTGAAATGTGAGAATCATGCAGAAATTGGGGGTTTGTGGAGTGTGAGCAAATGAGAGACAAATGAATGAGGGAGTCAAAGATTCTGTTAGGAAAGAAGGTAAAATGATTGGGTTCCAGATTGGTCAGAGAACGAAGTGAGGTCAGAAATGGATTTAAGGAAAGGCGATGGTCAACAGACTAGAGGGCCCGTGAAATTAAAGAGCAGATGTGAGAATGAGTAAGTGAGCAAGAAGGAGCAGAGCTGGTCATCCCACAGTGGGATTAAGAGTTCAGAGAGGCAGCAGTTTTATGTGACACATTGTTTCAAATGTGGCTGTGCTGTTTTGTTTCTAGAGAGGGGGTTAACTTCATAGAATTTAGGATTTTAGGAATTGAAAATGAGAACAATCTTTCTCAAATTTTTGATGGACTATCTGCATGAGTGTCACCTGGGGTAAGATTTCTGGCTTTAACTGAGAATGAATATTTCTAACAAGCAACTTCAGTGATTCTGATGAACGGAAGTTGGGACAAATTTAAAAGCCTCTGTGACAGATTTTGGTTGGGTGTTCTCAAGGATATTTTTAAAGGCTCATAGTGATGTGATGTCGAAAGTTAGGGTGAAGAGAATGATCAGTAGTGAAAAGATGAAGTCATTGCCTATAGAGCTTGAGAGAAGTTTTAGGGACTTGTGGAGATATTGTAACTGGTTGTAGAGACTTCAAAGGATAAGTCATCATGTTGGAACAATAGAATTTCTCCTCTCCAGTAGATAGGGAGTGTATCCATGTGTGTGAAACATTTTCACACACATTTCTGTTAGGAGTCGGCTGCAGGAGGGAAATGAAGTCTTCTATGATACCATTTAAGTTGTAGGCACCTAGAAGATAAAGTTAAAGGACTGGAAGGAAAGAAAGGTAAAACAGGGGAGTCTGTATCATCTAAAGTCAGAGTTAAAAAGTCAGGTTACCTAGAAACCTTGTTCAGTCGGTTACTTTAGAAAGTTCTCTGCTTTTACTTTAAGAAAGGGTTTGGCAGTAGTAGGACGCTGCCCTGGGAGGACGGGGGAGGCACATAACATCAATAAAGGTACCTGATCTCAAACCTGGTGAAGCAGTAACCAAAGGGAGGCTCAAACTTTACCTGTACAATAACCATATATCTATGATCATTGTACCCCACATCTTTTTTTTTTTTAAGTGCTCAGTTTTTGAAAAGTTGTTCTTTTAAACGTTTGGTAGGATAAGTCAGCTTGTATTTAGAAGCCACATATTGGCATGAAGTCTTTAAACATTAGAATCTTAGATCTATCTCCTTAAGGAGATAGATGCCTGCCGAAAAGATTCAAGTCTTTCCTGTCTTGTGTTTACTGTGAGGCCTATCATCTCTTTAGTTACCATGTGTGCTTGATTCTAAGTAAGTTCTATGTAATCTGATGTGCCTCCTGCAGTGGGCAGGAGGAGAAAATAAATGAGAAGAAAGAAATTAATGACTCAGATGGTATTTTGGATGGTGCCTGGCAAAATACAGCATAAGTAATATAATATTTCCATTTAACAAATTTTTAAGTGTACAATTCAGGGTGGATAATTTCTTTTACAGCGTTGTACAACCATCACCACTATGTATAGTTCCACACCTTTTTCATTATTACAGACAAACTGTATCCACTAGGCAATAACTTGCCATTCATTCCTTTCTGTGAACATGCCTATTCTTGCTTATATGTGAGCTCATACAATTCTTGTCACTTTATATCTGGCTTATTTCATTTGGCATGTTTTCAAGGTTTGTCTATATTGTGGCACATATCAGAACTTCATTTCTTTGTATTCCTGAAGAATATATTGTTGGATTTATATACCACATTTTGTTACCCATTTATCTGGTGTGTTCACCTTTTGAGTAATATTTCTGCAGTGAATATTTGCATGTGAAAATTTGAGTGTCTCTTTTCAGTTCTATTGGTATATACCCAGGAGTAGAACTTCTGGGAATTAAATGCATAACTTTTTGAGGAATCACGAAATTGTTACCCACAGCAGCTGCACTATTTTATATTCCAACCAGCAGTGTTCAGAGTTCAATTTTTCCACATCCTTGAAGCCAGCACTTATTTCCCTTTGAAAAAAAATTGTAGCAATCCTAATAGATACATAGTTATGATTTTGATTTGTATTTCCCTAGTGACACATATGGTAAGCATCTTCTTGTATGCCTCTTGTCCATTTGTATATCGCTTTTGGAGAAATGTTTATTCAGGTTCTTTGCTCATTTTTTCATTGAGTTGTCTTTTTGATGAGTTGTAGGAGTTTTTGAAATATATTCTGGATATTAAACCCTTATTAGATACATGATTTGCAGACATTTTCTCCCATTCTGTGGGTTGTCTCTTTACTTTCTTGACAGTGTCTTTTGGTACACAAAAGTGTGTAATTTGATAAAGTCCAATTTGTCTATTTCATATGTTTCTTATGCTTTTTATGTCGTGTCTAGGAATCCATTGCCAAATCCAAGATCATGAAGATTTGCCTCTACGTTTTCTTCTAAGGGTTTTATGGTTTTGCTTCTTTTAAGTTATTGATCCATTTTGAGTTAACTTTTATATATGGTGTAGGGTAGAGGTCCAACTTTATTCTTTTGCATGTGGAGATTCAAGTGTCCCAGGAGCATTTGATGACCCTATTTTCTACTGAATGAACTTGACACCTTTTTTGAAAATCAGCTGTCTATACACTTATGGGTGTATTTCTGGACTCTTTCAATTCTGCACCATTAGTATATTTTTCTATCCTTATGCCAGTACCACCCTGTCTTGATTACTGTAGTTTTGTAGTAAGTTTTGACATTGGGAAGCGTGAGTTCTTCAACTTTTTCCTTCTTTTTTAAGACTATTTGAGTTATTTTGGGCCCTTTGCACTTTCTTCTGAATTTGAGGATTGGCTTTTCCATTTCTGCAATAAAGGTTGTCAGAATATTGATAGGAATTATGTTGAATCTGTAGATCACTTTGGGTAGTATTACCATCTTAACATATTGAGTTTTCCATTCTGGAAACCAGTTTTTTAATTTACTTAGCTCTGCCAGGCTTTGTGGCTCAAGGCTATCATCTCAACACTTTGGGAGGCAGAGGCGAGAGGGTTGCCTGAGCCCAGGGGTTCCAAACCAGCCTGAGCAACATGGTGAGACCTTGTCTCTACAATAAATCAAAATATTAGCCAGATGTGGTGGCACATGCCTGAAGTTACAGCTTTTGGAAGGCTGAGGAAGGATCGCCTGAGCCCAGTAGGTGGAGGCTTCAGTGGCCATGAGCATGCCACTGTACTCCAGCCTGGGTGACAGAGTGAGACTCTGACTCAAAAAAAAAATTTACTTAGCTGTCCTTTAATTTCTTTTTGTCATGTTTTAATAGTTTTCCATGTACAAATCTCTTATTCCTTTATATGCTATTATGAATGGAATTGCTTTCTTGATTTCCTTTTTGGATTATTGACTGCTAGTGTATCAGTTTTTTTGTGTGTTGAACTTGTAACGTGCATCTTTGCCAAATTTTTCGACTAGCTTTCTTGGAGATTCTTTGAGATCTTCTATATATAAGGAACAGAGAGTTTTACTTCTTTTCTTTTTTTTTTTTTTTTTGAGTTGGAGTCTCACTCTGTCGCCCAGACTGGAGTGCAGTGGCCGCTCCCAGCCACCGCAGCCTCGACCTGCTGGGCTCCGGCGATCCTTCCGCCTCAGCCTTCCAAGGAGCTGGAATTACATGCATGCACTACCACGCCCAGCTGATTTCTTGATTTATTGTAGAGATGAGTTCTCGCTGCCCAGGCGGGTCTCGAACCCACGGGCTCAGGCAATCCACTCACCTCAGCCTCCCAAAGGCGCGGGATTACAGGCTGAGCCACTGAGCCCGGCTGAGTTTTACTTCTTTACCAATTTGTATGCTTCTTATTTCTTTTTACAATCCAATTGCTCTACTAGAACTTTAGAGTAGTGTTGAATAACAATGGTGAAAGCAGGCATCCTGTCTTGAATTTTTTTTCTCATTTTTAAGATAAAAATTGCTACTGAAATTTGTCAAATTAAAGAATTATACATAATTGACTAATTTTGTTGATCTTAATCTAGAGAGAAATTGATATTGGAATTTTTTTTCTTTTGCAGCACAAAGAATGAACCAGCAGTAAAAGAGAAAATAACGCAAGCTGGCTGACTGCTGGTAAAGAAGATGCTGTTTTTTTGTAGCAGACATCTGTGGGATCTGTAATAGAAATGTAAGTATGGCATCATGGTTTTCCTAAAGCTACAGTAAATTAAGTAGATTCGTTAAAATACAGTAAATGACATACTGTCATATTGAGTTTTAATTATACAAAATGAGCAATTTGTCAATGTATAGATGCTGTAATAATTTTATTCACATTAAATTATTATTAATGTAGATTTCCAAAAGTCTCTTCAAAAGGAAAATCTCTATAAGAAGTGAAACTGAAGACAGAGGGATTTGCTCATAGAAGACAAAAACTGGAGAAATCTCCAGCTTCTCTGGGTGCTACAGAACCTCTCTTTACATGATAATTTTCTTAAATAAGTGAGCTAGGCAGACAGTGTCAGCTTTTATAAATAAGAGAGTCTTCGGGATTGTGAAAACACTGGTTACTAAAAACCATCCTCACTAAATTAAAGGTATCTCTTTATACGGTAATTTATTTAACTTTTAGTACATTATTGTTTTTTTATTCATACTGGTTCACTCTAAACCTCAGTTTTACTAGTTGTACTTACCCATTATTTAGTCTTTGCATAATATGCTTTAAAATGTTACACTAAATTGAATTTGCCCATATTGAACTTCATTTTGTTATTGAAACATTTTTTCCATGCTGAATATCATTTTTCTCTTTTCCAATTTATTATTAACAGTATGCAACTTGATGTTACTCTTCATAAATGCAGTGAATACTTTATTGACTTTTAAAGTCTTGGTGATTACAGTGTTCAGAGTATTCAGCCAAAGAATGACCCTGGTGGATACTATTTCATGTTTTCCCAGTTTGACATATAACTCTTGCCACTTCCTCTTCAAATATATTACTCTGATTATATACTCCTGTTAAAAGGATGGCCATATTATTCTTATGCAGTGTTGAGAATTTGATAAAGAAAAATGATACCAGTAAGCATTTTTTCTTTAAAATTGGGGTATTATGTCTTTTATTCAATCCTGTTCATTTATCTAGCCTACTTTTTTTTTTTTTTTTTGAGTTGGAGTCTCACTCAGTCGCCCAGACTGGAGTGCAGTGGCCGCTCCCGGCCACCGCAGCCTCGACCTGCTGGGCTCCGGCGATCCTTCCACTTCAGCCTTCCGAGTAGCTGGAATTACAGGCATGCGCAACCATGCCCGGGCTGATTTTTTGATTTTTTGTAGAGATGAGGTCTCGCTGCCCCGGTGGGTCTCGAACCCACAGGCTCCCAAAGGCTCAGGATGACAGGCTGAGCCACCGAGCCCGGCTTTTTTTTTTTTTATTTTGTAGGTCAGATAGTCTAGGTGCTGGTCATCAGGTATGATCTAGTAAGTGAGACACATATATATAATTAACAAACAGTGGAACAGATACCATATTAAGGTAACAATAAAATGCTGCTGGAACTAAGTGGAGGAAGAGATTCATTCCATCTGAAGGGTTCAGAGTGAACAGAATAACTTTTGGTTTGACCTTAAAGAATGAATAGAATTTTAGCAATCAAGGAAAAATAGGAAATATTTTTAAGCCAGAGAAATGAGGAGGGGTATAGCTGCCTAATCAAGGCATTTTAGAGGAGTCAGGGAACAGTGATAGAAAAGTAGGGTGGGAGAAAGAGACTTTAAGTAAAGGGAATGAACATTTATTTGGTACCTACAACATTACCGATTGCTTACTGGTTGCTGTTGTTACGTTATTGAATTTAATCACTATATGATAGTAGTTGTCTGATTTACTGGTGAAGAAACAGAATTTGAGATTTTTTTCAAGTTGGGGTCTCACTCTTTGTCGCCCAGGCTGGAGTGTAGTGGCACGCTCACGGCCACAGCAGCCTTGACCTGCTGGGCTTAGGTGTTCCTTCCGCCTCAGGGATTTGAGCGATTTATTCAGTCACTTGCCTAAGTCAGTGTTTACCAAGTTTTTCTGAGAGTAATCTGGTACATTTGTTAAAAACACAGATTCTTAAACCTGAGTCCACATATCCAGGAAAGAGGACACCAGCTAATTCTTACTTTTAGGGAAGTCTGGGAAATGCTCATCTAGGTCAACGTACTGAAAATAAATGAGAAATAAATAAATAAACTATGTCTGTTTTACTATAAAGACTGTGTCAATAGTCTTGAAGGCCAGTGCTTAGGAGTTTGGATTAGATTAGGTAGGCAGTAAGATTATGAGAGAGGACTAAGAAGATATAATTGAACTGAGGAAAAAACCTGAGAGGGTGAAGACTGAATTCCCTTGGAAGGTAGGGTATTGTACAAGAGTATGTTTAAAAGTCTGGAATTGGGGTCACAGGCTTTGAGAATAAAGGAAACACATTTAAAAGAAGTTTCTGTCATAGGGAAGAGAAGTGACTAAGGGATAGGGGAGCACTAAGGATGGTTCCAAGTTTTATCCAAGAGAGAGAACAAAGGAAGGGGATGTAGGTTTAGGGGAGCGAATTAATGTAGTTTTAGTCATGTTTAATTACAGATGCCTTGAGAATACTGAGGTAGACTTTCTGAATACAGAATTGGAAATGTGGGTCTTAGGTGGAACAGTTCTGGACTTTAGGTTTGGGAGTCATGTAGATACACATTAATTTGAAATTTCAGTAGATGTCTAAGCATAGAATTATAGTATGAAAACAGGCCTACCCACAAAGCCTTGTGAAGAATACTGGTATTTTAAGGGCAGCTAGAAAAGATGGAAAGAAATGAAAGAGAAAGCAGAATTGGAAGAGAGTGAAATCATGGAAATGAAGAGTATAAAACTTTGCCAAAAAAGTTGGTGGTTAATATTTAGTGCAGTGGGATCAAACAGATTGAGGCTGAAAGCAGCCATTAGATTAAGCATGTGCATCGATTTTGAAACTTAGTGACAGAGGATACTGATTGACATCCTGAGGATTTGGGGGGTGATACTAACTAGTTGTTGAAGGCTTGCTTAGCTTTGGAGGCAACTAGCCGTTCCCCATTCTGAGCCAGGAGGAATAGTGATAAGGCCGAGTAAAGATAAAGATGGATTTTGAAGATTTGTTTTTGCCTTACCTTATTTCTCCGTGGTTATAGAGTCGGGCTCTCTCTTACTGGGAGGTTGGAAGAGGTTTGTAGTAGGCTTTGGGGAACTAGGGAAAAGAGAGATCTTGGGTGAGTAACGTTATTGGTAGCAGTCTTGATGGTCGCTGGGAAATCAAGATAGCTAATTAGCGTGTGGGGTTCATGACTTTTGCATCGTACAATTCACTACAAAAGTGGAAATTTTCATCATTTAGAGTAACTTTTATAAATCCTCTCCTTGCTTGATCATTCTTTTTTGCAAATGTTTACGCTTTTGGCTTTCTTGGTGGTTTTCTTGGTTCTCTGTTCTTCTCAGACCATTCCTTACATCTATTGCTAGCTGTTTCCCTCACTTGTAAATGTTGGAGTAATCCACGTTTCTGTGATTGGCCCTTTTCTCTGCTGTCTCTACGGGCATCATTTGGATATTTACCCATTTTCATGGTTCCAAGGACCATGTATGTGTTGGTGACTCACTGGACTTTGTTCACCTTAGGTTTCTTCTTAGATTAGAGTACTTGACTAGTAAATTCAGCTATCATCTACATACCTCCACCTAGAGACCTTATACATATCTCAGAGTCATTATGTCCAAGACAGAACTCTCTTCAAATTCTGAATCTTGCCATTATCATTTATCAGTAACCAAATACTTTCATTTCTATTTCCTTAGCATTTCTTATATTCTACTATTGAAACCTCACATCAGCACCCTCCCTCTCATCATACTTGGATTATTACCTGGATTCATACAAAGTTTCCTTTTTGCCATCCCTCTCCCCTACTGCCAAACTTTCCTCCAAACTGCTGTCCAAATGATCTTGAAAAATTACTACACTGTTACTTCCTGCCATTGTTTTATTATTTTTTCTTTTTTGATGTATGCTTCCTTGTAACTAGAGAAAGATAACTTTCTGCTTTGATAAGTCTGCACATATTAGAAGTGATGTGTTAACTTACTCTTTGTGCCCTTTTTTTGTATTTGTAACTATATTCTGAACTCAGACTTAAAAATAATCTGGTTTTTTACATTTGGGATTTTTATTACTGGTTAAAAATTTCTTCAATACTATATATGCTAAAGACTTGTTTTGCTTATAGTATTTTACCTTTCTTTTGACTAGATGTTTTCAAAAAATTTCAAAAAAATTTGAGTACTTGGAGTAACTGTCCATACCCCTCTATATATTGTCTTCTTGAGAAGAAGGCTTACTAGTATGAACAGACTCTTATTTGTCTTGCAGAAATACTTTACATGGCTTGTCTGTGGGAAAAGGAATGAGATTTATGCTTAAAAGTCAAACAGTTTAGTTAGTGAAAAAGTCAGAAAATAAGTGCTATACTTGTTATACTCATGAACAGAGTTAGACTAATTTCACTAAATTCTACATATTAAATTCTTAATTTAATAACCTGAAATAAATTCCCTTTTTCAAAATGATCTCTAGAATTTCTTAAGACATTTATCATTAGGTTTTAAAACTCTTTGATGAGCATTAACTCTTTCCCAAATCCTTGCTTTACAAACAAGTGGGGGGGGATACATTTCTTATTTACATATTGGTGTGATCCTCTGCATACATTCAGCCTCCCATCTTTTTAAAGATCATTGAAACTGTGCAAAATAGTCCTTGGAGAGCAGATCAAAATGGTTATAAAATATAGCCTTTAAGTGTATCTTATAGGTAGGCTAGTGGTTTTGGATTGCTTTGTCTTGTTATATATTTTATTTCTGTCTTATTTATTGGATGTGCCTCATTTTGAATTATATAAGAAGTATCACTAAGTTTTTCTGCCCTTTTTTTTTTTTTTTTTTTTTGAAGTTGGAGTCTCACTCTGTTGCCCAGAGTGGAGTGCAGTGGCCGCTCCCAGCCACCACAGCCTTGACCTGCTGGGCTCTGGCGATCCTTCCGCCTCAGCCTTCCAAGTAGCCGGAATTACAGGCATGCGCTACCACGCCCAGCTGATTTTTTTTTTTTTTTTGATTTATTG